TAACTTCACTTGACTTCTAACTAACTCTCCTTGAATTGGAATTATGAATTCAACGGTAATGATTTGTGTTTAGAAGGACCCCATGATGTTTAGGAATAATTTAGGACAATTAAACTTAAGAAGAATTACGAAATTAAAGTCTGAAAACAGAGCAGATTTTGTTCACAGAGGGAACACAGCCGCGACGCAGACTTGTTTCCTGAAAGTAGCCTAACTTTTCTCCTCATGTTGCCAACTCTAACCCTCTTAACTTCAAAGGTTCTTTTCCCAAACACTTGGGGTCATAAACCCCTCAACATACAGTGGATTCCACTAAAAAACACAACCAAATCCTGTCCCAAATCAGCAAGAACTTCAACAACACAACCAACAACTTCAACAACCAAAATAAATCTTTTGTTGAAATTAAAAACGAGTTGGTGTGTAGGGGTATGAACCAACCAACACTAAGGATCATAAAATCCCTCAACATACAAGAGATTCAACTCAAAAACACCACCAAATCATGTCCCAAATCAACAAGGGACTTCAACAACACAATTAACAATATCAACAACACAACCAACAACTCCAAACAACACAACCAATCTTTTCTTAATAATAAAACGAGTTTGGTGTGTGGGGGAAAAAATCAACCCATCACTATGAACTCACATACCTATTAGGGATCACCCCCGACGATTTCCACGACGATCTTTGACGGAAACTCCTTCATCTCCTCTTCTTCTTCTCTTCTTCTCTTCTTCACTCAAGAACCCTAACTCTCACTCTTTTAAAATGGAACAAAAATGATCCACAATCAGCCTAACACAACAATATAACCTCAAAAGAAATTATTTGTGAAAAGATCAAAATGCCCTTAAATTTCCGGACGGACTCCCTGCCAACTGCCCAACTTTCAAAGGGCATAACTCGCTCATACGAACTCGGAATCGAGCAAACTCGGTGGCGTTGGAAAGATCATTCCAAGGGCTTTCCAAAAATAACTGGAAATACTCCTGGCTCATCCTGAGCTAGGAGTTATGACTGCTCAAAAGTTGGCCAAAAACTCACTGATTTCCACACTTAGCCAAATTTCCAGATTTGAATTTAGCCAAATTTCCAGATTCTGAACTTAGCCTAATTTCCAAATTCTGAATTTTTCCAAAAATGACTACTTCCAATTTCAAGCTTCTTCATATTCATTTTAAATTGTCGGATGTTACAGAAATCTTATCCATATTTGAATGAATTTCTGGACTGTGCAAAATATCAAAATGAATATTAACAAATGTAACGAATAAAATGAATATTAAAAATATGTAACGAACGTAACCAATGACATGTAAAAAAATGTAATTTAACAGAAATAATGATTTAATGAAATGTGAACAAATATTTGAACGTATTCAATTGACTATGACAAAATAATATAAACAAAATTAACCAATAAAAATTCTAATATTTTGAGAATAAGGATAATTATCAACAAATTGCATTAAAATTGCAAGACATGTATTTTGAACTGTTTAACGAATTAAATACTTAAAAGTATTAACTTTAGAAATATCAGACCAAAATTTGGTGTCAACAATTACAATACTAATTGATAATTTTGCACCAGATTTCAAGTCAAATACACCACTCCTTCAAATTTTCCCCTCGCTCTCTCCCCCTTTCTCTCGCACTCTCCCTCTTCCTTCCTCTGCCCCCTCGCTCCCTCTCTTTGCATGGATACACTGATGAATGTATTAATGCATTTTTTGATACTTGATACATGTATCTTTTGATACTAGCTAGATACATGTCTCTTTAGTACTGTATACATTCTAAAATACACATAAATAGGGAGAAAGACAATCGAGAGAGAGGGAGAGAGACAAGCGAGATAGGAGAGAGGCGGGAATCAAAATGTATGTTTGATACTAGATACATTAAGATACAACCAGAGAGAGGCGAGTGAGATAGGAGAGAGGCAAACGAGATAATCAATGTATTTTCGATACATGTAAATCACGCTTGAATATAGTGTATTTGAAATCAATTACACCTATTTTGACACATATAAATTCGAGATACATGTGTCTGGCGAATAAAAAGTGATACAGACACGTAATTTTCTAAACTGATGTAAGCACACGTATTTAGGACCTAAACTAAAATAGTGGAATTTGTATCGCTTACTCTAGAAAAAAAGTAAAGGTACTATTACATTTCTCAGGTATATCACTCAAGCTCCTAGCACCAAAGTTAATCCAAAGTAGCCTTTAGAAAGACAATTCTGTTTTACAATTTAGTGTCGAGGCAACTATCATGATGCAGGATTTTTTCGGTAGGTTAACTTACATTTATATACATTCAACTTTTTGCCTGTACAAAAACTTGTTAAAGCATATGCATTTTAGAGCTATAAAGTGTAAGTAAATGTAACTTTTGCATGATGGAATGGAATTGCTTTTGCAATATGCAACATCACTAGATAAAGATATACCAAAGGATATTTTCATAATAAATCAAATTTAATTAGCACTTGAGAAAAGAACTGAAACTATTGATGAGAATTTCGCTCAAGTTTCATGCACAAACATTATAATTATGAAGGTGGTTCTGTCTTTTGAGCTTTCCCGATCTTAAAAGAAACTTGGACCAATATGTTGATTTTGCCACATCGAACCATAGTTTGTACTGTAAACACCCAAATAAAGCCACAGGAACACCAGCACAAGCAACAATGAGCTTTGGCTCCCAACCCGTATGTTTTCTATAGATCAAAACGAAGGTTGCTGTAAACGCCACAAGCATGCTAACAATCGAAACAAACAACGCTGTAAGTCCGAAGAATAACTTAGCAGGCAATGACACAAGAAAGTCATCTTCAGCATAGCGAGATGTCAGAATGGACAAGAACATAATGATAGAAACGATTGAGCTGAATAGTGCCACTGCATCTGATATAACAAAGATCCTAAATCCATTCAATTCTAGCCATATTGGAAAACCATTATCATCCATATTACCACCTGGCACAGTGAATCCAGCAGCAAACACCATCGTGGCAATCAAAGTTGCCGCAATCATACAAGAATTTGCGGTGTCTTTCATCCACTTTTCCCCATCTTTTAGTAATATCTTGTGTTCTTCCGTGAATAATTCTCTAGGGGTTTTCCCATCCTTGTTTCTCCTCTTGCGGCCTGAAGGTGGTATAAGTTTCTCCACTTCCTACCCAATTATAGTAATTTTCATTCCGCATCAACAAACAATTTTAAAAGCAATAAAGAAAACGCTAAAAATTGATTAGAGATTTGAAATGTGAAATATAGTTTTAGGTGATTGATCTCGCACTCACCTTGAACCACAATATCTCTCTTTGCATCTGAAGTGCTGCTCCAGAAACCCTAAGAAATGATGGCGGCATAATCTTCTCTTCCGCCTATTGGCCAATGATAATTAATTAACCCAAATTAAGAAGATACAATATTTTTCTGTATTGTGTTAAATTGGAAGGAAGCAACATGTATGTTTTAAAAGAGAAGAAATTAAGTACCTTAACAGACTGTGTCTCTGTTATGTGTCTAATGATTTCTATCTCTTGAAACAGCTGTTGTAGTGATTCAACGAATACAGCATTATTATTATTATCAGCATTAGGAGGCACAGACTGAACAAGTTTGTTTTTCAGGGCTTCCATCTGTCCACTACTTTTCTGTTTACTGAATATTGGCTCCCCTAACTTCCCAGCCAAATGTAGAATGTTATTGCCATCATTGTCAAAATCTACAAGAAATATGTTTTTCATTCCTCCTATTTGGTGTATAAGACTGAAGACTTTTTCCTCTCGATATAAAACTGCAACGTGAAGAATGGTATGCCTTTTATCGTCGTTCGTCCACATGAGCACAGGAAAATCACGAGTAACCACAAGTAAAAACCCTAGATTTCCTGCTTTTGCAGCAGAATGGACCCAGTTTTCTTTTAGCACTAAGTCTAACAGCTTATCCCTTCCTCTTCTTAGACACTCTGCCCATAGCTCCTCAAGTAGTGTCTCAGCTTGTTTCTCAACTACATATCTTTCCGGAAGCAATTTTAGCACTACATTTGGATCAAATATTAATTAAGATTGTCTTAATTCATACAAAATACTTTAATTAATTGATATTATATATAGTAGATCTTACATGAAATGGATTGCCTCCTGCCCACGCTAATAAACTTTCTCCACACCGGAGAAGAAGCGTTACTGATCGCTATGGACTTTTGAGATAACGTGTGCAAGACATTAATATTTCCTTGTAACATTTTAGTGGCAAATAATTGTCTGTCCTTGTTGAATATATTTAATGCTACCTCTGCCATAAAAAAGATCGAATTAGCTTAGCGATATATATATTGAAAAACAACAATAATACAAATAGACACCATACATAACTAGCTCGTTTATGATGTGTATCTGATGAGATGTTTCATACATACAAAAAAAAGGATACTTTGTTTATTTTTATAGCTTACCGTACATTTCATTCTGGATAGTGATCTCAAGAAGGTATAAGAGTTCTTGTTGCTGTATCACATCAAAATCTGTGACCTCATAAAGGTATGATACCATAGCTTTATGCCCAACTTGAGCTGCCACAGAGATTGGTAAATCTCCCTCCTTACCACAGATGTTTGGTAGATTCTTATTCTTTTTTCTCATTGCTTTAGCAATTTCAATGTGCCCTGCCAATGCTGCCAACATAAATGCCGTATTCACACCTTTCTCCAAGTCACCTACTTTCATTAGTTTAATTAGCTCTCGCACAAATCCGCTACTTTTTGCTAATGCTGCAGCGTGAAGTAATGTTTCAGAGGTTTCTCCAAATTCAAAATTAATAAATCTTGGTTCCTTATTTAGAATTGGTTCTGCAATCTTCCAGTTATCATATAAAGCAGCACGTTGAAGAATTCGCAATGCAGTTTTACCATCCAGTTTCCTGTCATCTGCAAATTAAAATCAGTGAATATTCAAGTTTCAGCAATCGAACAATGCTAAAGTACGTACGTACGTACAACATATATATGAAAATTCAGTAACATTTGCACTTATAAGTACTACTCACTACTATTAACTTTATATATGTTGTTGTATAAATCCATAGACCTTAAGGGTGTTTATAAGATCTATAGAGAGATAGTTGTGAACTTACTAACAAATATTACAGTGTTGACAGGTTGATTTTCAACATCACTTCCGTCTCCAGACCCAAATTGTTCATCATCTTCAAAATCCTGAAAAACTGGTTCAATTTCATGGGAAAACTCGCTCTCCATTATTATGTCTTCGAATTGCTGATCTCCAATGATTTGTCTCTATGTTTATTTATATCCTGTCTTAATAGACAAAAAGGGAAAAAAATATGATTGTTCTTTGCTCGAACAATATGAGCAACTTATTCCATTCTCAATCACACCTAAGAATTTTGTTTTACCTTTTTCTACAGAAAACTCAATCATTGCCACATTTCAACTTTGAAGTTAAGCCCTCATTTGTTTTCGCTAAGATTATAACTGTTTATTTTCACTAAATGAATATGCATATAAAATTAAACACTAGTATTAAATTAAAAATTCAAGTTCCTGGAATTGATTGTTCTCGTAACATAGAGCTAAATTTTGAACTACTTATAATCAAGTTTCTAGGAGAAAATAAAATAAAAGAACATTAAAAAGAGTTTTTTTTTCCTTCCGCCTTGAAATTCACTCGATTATCCAAAACGAGCGACTCTACTTATTAGTAGTTAATGATGGTATCTCCTTTAATTATTTCCACCTCCAAACCCATCCACCTAATATAAAAAGGAGAAATTAATATCTAATTACATAAACATTCCTACCATATATACTAATTCACTCTATAGTTAAAAATAATTACATATTATCTCACTAATTAATAATTTTACACCAGATTTCAAGTCAAGTACACCAATCTTTCAAATTTCCCCCTTGCTCTCTCCCCTCTTTTTTCCTCTCTCCCTCTTTACTACCGTATACATTGTAAAATACACATACAGGCGACCTGAAGAAGGAGAGAGGCAAGTGAGATAGTGAGAGGCGAGAGTGAACATGCATATTTGATACCAGATACATTTTGAAATACTGATACAGCGGGAGAGATGAGCGAGATAGGAGAGAGGTAAGCGAGACAGTCAATGTATTCCAGATACATGTGAATCACTCTTGGATACATTGTATCTAAAATAAATTCTACCAAATTTAGCACACATGTATCCGAGATACATGTACCTGACGAAAAAAATGTGGTACCGAAAGTAATTTTCTAAATTGATGTAAACGCACATATTTAGAACCTAAACTTGTGGGATTTGTATTGTTTACTCTAAAAAAAAATAGAGTAATGTATTATATTTCTCAGGTATATCACTCAAGCTCTTAATAATAAATTTAATGTTCTAGCACTAAAGTTAATGTTATAAACTCCGTGATGATCATAGAATACTTAGTTTTCTCTAGTTTTTATTTTCTTCGTACTTGTTAATTAGTAGAGACTTGTTATCTCATTAGGAATAGTAAGGTAAGGCCTAGCTCCTCTTGCTTGTACTAATCCATATTAATATCTTTTTATTTTTAATAAAAGGCCGCTAGACGCTTTGTCTAGTGATAAATTTGATAAAAAAAATAAAAAATAAAAATAATACAAGGTTTCCTTCAGAATATTAGTATTTGGTTCATCCTACCTGACAAATCACAAAGCAATATATTGCGTTTGAAGCGTATCTTAGGTTTAGAATTTAAAACTCTAATTGCTTCATAACACTTGTATAGAATTGAGAAAAAGAACTTCAAGTCATAGAAAAGTTACACTAACCAATATAATAAAAATTAAATATTATAATGAAAAACCTTCAGAAATATATATACACACTTCAAAGAAATTAAAGTATCTTGTATCTTATTACATTGACCTTCAAAATTTATCCCATTAGTATTCGTAAAGCTAAAATGCACAACTCATGTAAAGAGTGCAGATAAAGAAAAAATTAAATAATTTTAATCTCGAAGGAATGTGTTACTTTTTGCTAAATTTTCCCTCTTTGTATATAATATAAGTAATATATTTTGGGCAATAGAAAGAAAGGCTATAAACAAAGAAAATTAAAGAAGATGATTTGTTATAATAAAAATCATGAAGTTTTAACATAAGAATTAATTGGAGAATTAGAGACGATGTGAAGATATATATATTAGTGCCGATGACACAACTAGAAGAATAACAGAGGAAATTAAAAACCAACATTACACGCTGAATAGCTCATAAGAAAATGAATTTTCACTTACCTTACCTTGAAAAATTAGCTCAGAGAAAGAATTGTTGTTCAAACAGTATAAAGAGATCAAATTGCACCTCCTTTAAATGTTTTGAACTAAGACATGTGAAGTTTAACGAAGACCTAAACTACTTATTTATTTGGCCTTTTGACATACTCCATTATTTAACATTGACAATGACTTGTCAATTGTCATCCAAAGTAAACAAGCAACTGTACTACTGGCTTACATTACAGCCAGGTCGACTCAACAAGATTGGAGACCTAAAGCCAAATCTTAAAAAGGGGTCCTAATATTTTTTTTAAATTCTTTTTTTAAAATCATCATATATATTTTTATTTAAAATCTACTTTTCTAGCATTTTTAGATGCAAAGTTATCAATTACGGTTTTATAATTGATTTGTTTTAGTAATTCCTTTTCAATTGATAATATAGTTAATACATTCCATCTCTCTTGAGACATTGTTGATCTTAGATAAGATTTTATCAATTTTAGTTTCGAAAACTTCTTTTGGCTGAGGCAACAGTTACATGAATTGTTAACACTATTCTATAAGCATTACTTTTTTATTCAGAATTTTTATTATTTGTTAAAAATCTATCAAG